CACTTTGTGAGAGTATCATAGTTCATACTCTATAAATAATAAGATGGGCATAAATTATATGTTAGTATAGAGAAAAATAATTATATCCTAAATTACAAAAAATAAAACTTGAAGATAATTTTTTTGAAATCTCTTTTTAGCTAAAATCTTTATCACATCAACAAACAACATGTCAATATGTTTCATAATAAATGGCAGTTTTATCACAATGCCGAACTCAGTTAAACGGCACAGGAACGATTCGCTTAATTAATGTATCCTTTAACCCAAATAAGTAACTATTAACTAGTCTCCTTGGTTTTCAGTTAACTGTTCGTTATCGTCTGTCATTGACTTCTGAATAAATACAACTGTGATAATATTAGACCTACTTTCTTAAAAGTTATTGTATAAGTTCCAATTGTTTATTTATTTGATTCACTAATGTCCGATTTCACCAACATCCTATATAATCTACCACCTTTTTTTTCACGAGGTGTGGGACTCACCGGCAAAGCTAGTACTACCCACTAAAACCCAACAAAACCTTCCCCCGTCTTAATGGGGCGTCGCAGGATCGCTTACGCATTCAACTGCGACGCCCCGACGGCAGGTCTGCCGAAGTAGACCACCACAACCATGGGGTTGCTCCAAGGTCCACTCTGCTATAAGAGAAGTACCAGGAGCAACCCACATGGTACACCGCCCACCTCCCTGTGCGTTTCTTGGCTTCGCGCCCGGTTGGGTTGCCGGGCATATGGGAACCCTAACTTAAAAGTTCCCCTAAACCTAAATTAAATTTCGTTTTACCATCGTCAGAGCCCGTATTTCTAGTACCTATATTTAGGTGGCATTTTAACATTTAGGTGACCCCTAACTGTCGGTGAAACAGAAACTGTCCCCTAACAGCCCCCTAACCATGCTTAGGGATCCCTTAAAGTTAGGTGACGTTAGTGAAATCGGGCATAAGACGTTCGTCATGTAACCTCGACAATCGATTAAACACAAGTCAATTAAGGTTAAATTGTTCAAATTTCGTTAGGTCGATAAGTAAATTATATTATAAAAATCGGCAGCTCAATCAATCGAATGTTCACTTTAAATACCTTACAATAATAATACGATAAATAATTATGTTATTATGTAAAATACGTAATATTTTTAACATTTTACGTGCAGGATAGGATTTTATTCTGAAATTTGTTCAAAATATTAAGTACTTAAGACTGCATTGGTACCTGGAATTATATATACCAAGTAAGGAGGTGCTTTTATGCTCTAACTTTTATGTGCAGGCACATGGATTTCTTTGTCGAATAACGAGAGATTGTTGAAAAAAGAACCATAAAATCGAACAAAACGGAAAACGTACCAAAATATTAAAAAAAACTTGTTAAATGACATACGAGTATTAAATTCAACTCGCTAATTTCAATAGCTTTACTATGGAAAGGTTCCAAACAGAAATGTAAACATGTAGTACTAGCGATGTATAGTTGGTAGTAAGACGTCAGATTGGTTTACAATAATGTGTACACAAACTGTTTACACAATTAAACGCATGTGGCAGGTGATGGACATGCGCAGTGATTACCATTGTCAGCGACCATTCTGCCACATCAGATCCTATCAGATTTGTTACGCCCTTGACAGTGTGGGGTGACAACGTTAGCACGTTACTTTGAAACCATTTATGGCAATTTTGTTACAATTTTTGTATCTATACAGATAAATTAAATTAAAGTGTCTGTTTGTAATGTTAAAATAACCGCTTTTTACTAAATGCATATATATGGAATTATATACGGTATTTTAAGAAATACACAATTTTTAAAATTTTTGTCTGTCTGTCTGTTTGTTCCGGCTAATCTCCGAAACAGCTGGGCCTATTTTGACGGGACTTTCACTGGTAGGTAGATGATGTAATAAGGAGTACATTAGGCTACTTTTATTTCAGTAAAAGAATTAGGGGTCCGCTCAAAAAAATTAAAATCTACCTATATACCTACCATATAATATGCCGATAAAACGTTGTATAGTGTAGCCATTTACTTATTATACCTAATGTCTCCTACATAGAAAGTATCTACTGGATTCGATTATTGCAAAAAATATATGTATTCACTTACTAGAATTGCTATTATTTAAATAATTTAGCGTAAAGATTTTATTAAAAAAAGAAGGATTTTATTGCTAAACAAATGCACGCACCCTCTCAACTATATTACTGGTAATATAGTACACTATAATGAAAGGGATACGTCCATTGCCTCTAATAAAATTAGCCGATATACATATACTGTTTAGAGAAGTACTTTAATAAGTATGTGTGTAAAACTTCATAAGTTTTTTTTTTCACAATGATAAATGTACGTACATCATTAAAAATAATTACTTATGTATTTAGCTGAAGGATAATAAATAAGGGTTTATTGTTTATGGACAGAACAATGAGCAACTTTGTCTTTTCGTTTATCTGTAGTTTTCCTCGCTGGAGGTTATATTAAAAATAGAAGAAGAAATAAATAAGATGTCCTCGGAAAAATCTTTACTTATTTAGGCGACTAAGCTCAAACAACTTAATCAAATATGGTAGTAGGTAGTTGTAAATGGCATGTTGAGGTCATTTTTAGTAGCATTTTCGTCATACGACTAAAGTAATTCAATGAAACTCAAGCATAAAGATTTGAGATAAATTAATCAAAATTGTCTAGAATTATATAATCTTATTACATGACATGTTATTCATTGCTTACTTGTGTCTTTTAGAGATTTGACTAAGGAAATAGCAGAAAATATTTTGTCATTTATTTTGTTCACTGATCTATAGAATTTATTGTCTATAGATCAGAAGGGAGACGAATATGAGTTATGCTACAATAAGCCTCCAAACGAGATTAGAATATTATAACAAAATCATTTGTGATTATATTTGTATACAGTAGTTTTGTTTATATTTCCAGCAATTTGATAACAGACAAAAATTCTAAAAACTATAGATTCTACCTATGTATGCCTATGTATGTAATAATGACTATTTCAATAAGATTTTCCAAAAAATTTAATCTACTCAGAATTTTATTATACCTACTATGTAGGTATAGATTTCAAAATGACTATAAAATTAAGTTGCTGAAATCTTCATCTAATATCTTTAGCTACATATTCACGTCTCTTTTACCTTTTTCATGTAATTATTCATGTTTGTTCGTGCACGCGATCTGTCTAAGCTAGCGATTACCGCATTAAAATTGCCTATTAGTTTGTTGATAAAACCTATTTTTCAGGAATCTTTAACACTGATACGTTAATGGTTGTGTTTACTGATACAATAATTCATTGTGTTGCATACGTGTGATCTCATCTCACTTGTAACATGAATGCAAATTGACTTAAACTCAACATCCTTTAGATACGTCGCAATAAAAGAAAATACGATTTATGTACAATATGATCCTTTGTATCCATTTAATAAAATCGTGAGAAAAATCTTTCCATCGATTCGATTCTTACATGGAAAAGGTCAAAGTATTCAAAGGTCATTCATATATATACTTAAGTAAATAATGAATGTAAAATTTGCTTATAATAGAGTAGTATCTAGGGAGTTTTGTGTTTTTATCTCTTAGATATTATAAATGTGAAAGTTTGGATGGATTGATGTTTGTAACTCAATCACGCCAGAACGGCTGAACGGATCTGGATGAAATTCGGCACAGAGATAGATTATTGTCGGGATAGCACATAGGTTACTGGTTTCATCTCGGAAAAACGTACGATTCCCGTGGGATAAATTAGTTTTTGTTTATCATAGAGCAAGGGATCTACTATCTATTCCATACTAACCGTTAAAACATATATGACATCGGGACGAACCCGAGCAAAGCGAGGGTATGTCTCTAGTTTTATGTAATTTTGTTTTCGTAGGTTCACGGTCATTCACGTATAAATCTAGATGAGGTAATAATGATCTAAAGTGTAACATGCGGCCTTGACTCGCCTGCTGGGTTACGCTTTGTTACACGACAATTTACATATCCTACGCAACTCATTTACTTAAATTGACTCTATTGAAGATGTGAATGTTTTAGGACCGCTCGCTCGTTTATGTTGGAGCCTGAAACCTTCAGATATGATAAAAATAATTAATTTTTGAATAAAATATATTTATTATTCCAATTATAAGATATTATTATTATGTAGGTTAACAAAAAACATACTGGAACATAAAAATTGCTACAAATTTGAAAAGTTACATTTTATAATGTTTCATAAATATATAACTTTTAACTCAGTTTCACGTTATACTCCTAATGTTTATTCTATACCCAAGGGCATGGTAAACAGCTAAATGATGTTAGAATATTAAAAGTTTATGTTTAGAACATATCGATGATATTCTGGCGCTGGCTATTACGAAACTGGAATCAGTTTTATTTAGGACATAAACATTTTATATAGGCCGATGTGGAAATGTATGAAATCGATTTGCAGATAATACAAATAGTATAAAAGCAAAAAAAATATTTATAATGACGATTAGTATAAAGTAGTTGTAAGAACTCGTATAGAAAAATAGATTTACGTACGACAGTAAAATGTTTTTGGAAATGTGGGTCAATGGGTTGTTAAAAGAAGAAAAATAAATACTATAGATTTCATTACATTACTATGTCTATCTTAGAAATAGTTTTTTTTAAATGAGAACAAAATTCAATATTTACAAGTGTAAATATTGAACTAAAATCTAGATTTAATAGCAATTAGCCAAATACCTGTATATGTATGTACGTAAATCTTATAATATTAAACGAGCAACTCTTGTATAATTTATTGCGTGTATGTCAAATTTTGTATTTAGAAAAGGTTTTGCTTTTTAAGTTGCATATAGGTGCATTGTATGAAAAAATAAGCACAATTTTTACATCTTTTCCAAAAAAAAAAACAGGATTTTGCAATAAACCGAGGGATGCTCGGTAGCCCAGGTAGGTACTATAACTTAATCAACAAAGTATAACTACCATCATCTGGCGACTTGAAACATTGTAAACACGACACTCTCTTCTTCTTTTTCACTTTAGCATCATCCTTGTTCTGTTTTCCATTAACATTTTTCACATTCTCATATTTTTTATTTTTCTTATTTTTCACCACACCCATTTTGTCATACCACAAGGAATTTTTATTTTAAATAAAAAAAAATTGGCGGCGACGTCGCGCACTGCAGATGTACGTTCGGAAACTAGTGCCAGACTAGCAACGCTACTGCATTCGCGTGCGGAAAGGAAACGCTGGCAGGCAACAATGAGGACCGCTAATGAGTACTCGTCCACCGTCTATGAGGCGCGCCGCGTGAGCTCACTCGCCCGCCAAAATCGCCAGCCCGTTTGGGAATCAAGGCCAATACATGGATTCATATTCCGTCTGCAGTCGCTTCCCATATATAATGCTAACTTCTCCTAATTATTATTACGGGAAGGCATACTAATGTGAAATTATCTACACAGTTATATAGACTCTTTGATTCATTTATATAGTATAATATCTGTTGTCTATATTGAATAAATTTTAACAACAACAACAGCTATGCACGAGCAGCACAGGTTCATATTTAGCGGTTTTGCGGTTTTATATATGCTATTATACATTAGAGCTAGTAAAAAGTCATGGTGTTCAAAACAGTCGGAAGGAAATTGCGATACAATCATAACCATTAGTGGCGGCAGGTCACGCGTTTCGAATGTTAAGCGTAACAGAACGTGTAAACAAATGTACATATATATATATATTTAGTTACTAGTCGCACATGAACCATACTCATTAATATTGTTAATTAAATTGTCTTAAGCTTACATATAGTTATTTATCAACGATCATGATAACGATCACCGTACAAAGAACGCTTACTTCAGAGTTTCCTGCCGAGACGAATTAAATCATAACATAACGAACAAACGATTGATGTTTACAAATTGAAATATAGGGAATATTGTTCAGAGAAAGTACAGTAATATTTCACTTTTCTTTAATTTTTCAACTGGCACGTTTAATAACCACTAGCAGTCTGACATATGAGTAAAAGAGTTAATATGTTACAGCGTTAACGATAAACTTTTTATATGATTGAAATCATACGTCTCTTTCTAAGACGACACAAATCGATGCCTAATGCCTATAGGTAGCGTATAAAAATACATTTTCTATAACACACCCTGATAGCTCAAGGGCGGGTCTAACTATATTTAGTATCGGATGATTTATGTCGAAGTCAAGGAAATCGTGACTGGCAACGATTTCTCCTTTTAATTCGACAGTGTGGATCAGCCTTTATATATGTAATCCTTATACTATATAGCACCGAGAAACTTTTTTGGCAACGTAACAACATCAGAACGATTTTTTCCTAACAGCCATAGACACATTTTATTTGGAAGATTTATTTTTATTTACATTCATATATTAGTCGATACGAAACATTGAGTCAGTTGAATAAACTTCTTAGATACCTACTGTAGAAGTTTTTTTTGATACAAGTGTTAATTTCACTATTATACTTGAAATAAAAATAAACCTTTTCTTTATTGGCATAATATGTTGTTTGTAAGCATAGTTTATCTCATAACAAGACTTTTATATATTCCGGAAGTGACTTAGGTATTAAAAAAAATTATACCCACTATTTCAAAAGTTCCAAAGCTTCGTACTATATTTTATGAAGACGTTATCGCACTTAAAATATGTTTTTATAGTACAAAAGTTTTATACATATGTAATATGTTAATTTATTAAACATTTCCCTATAGTTTATTTCTTTTCGTTGTTTGACATCGTGGACAACCCTTGACTAGAAGTAATCCGACGCGTCGTATTATTGTCAATAATAAAACCACCTCTTCCTGAGTCTCGATTCTAAGCGACTTCAACATTAATAATAATCGATTAAATTAATTTGATAAAATCCAATATCTATAATTATTTTATATCTATAATTTATTTAGATATGCAACCTGCATCCTCCTTTTAATGTATTTCTTCATTGCATTAGCAAGTGGTAATCATAGTGAAAAGTGTGAAACCTGGATTTGAAGTCGCTTAATTTGACGTTTAAATCAATTGCGTTATCAATTGGCTACCAATGCATGATAATAATAATATATTATACTTTAAACATATAGATATTGTAAATTATATAAAGTGGTTTTTATTACTATATATTATAGATAGAGTTCACACAAGATACTATACATACATACATATGTATACAGTGTACACTGTTTAGCGAAGAAATACTGGAATAAATATATAATCACACTAACATTGCCCGCGGCTTCGCCCGCGTTCAGATGACCAAAAACCAAATTCTTAGGTTTTACATATAAGTATGCTACATTTCAGTTTTTGTTTTTTTTTGTCAGAAATGAGATATTTTCCCGCGGTAAAAAGTATCCTTTATGTTGACCCGGACAACCAGCTATGACTATACTAAATTTTATCAAAATCCCTCTAGTGGTTTTTCCGTGATGCGGTAACAGACAGACAGACAAAAATTCTAAAAACTGTAGATTCGGCCTCTGTATCCATAATAATGTCTATTTCAATTAGATTTTCCAAAAAAATATCTAATGTACAGATTCGGCTTGGTTACAATTTTATTACATGTATAAATTTATGTATACAGGTTAGTTTATTGTTCCAAAACTTAGTCTATTATAAGACTAAGTCAAAATCACTCAAAATATATATTGTGTTTGTTTCAACTTGACAAATAACTTTCAAGATACATAGCAATTATATTTACAGTGCTGTACATACTCTAGCACGTAACATCTTACTAATGTTCTACTTCCACGCAAAACCCTTTTCCGGTACTTAAGAGTGAGGAGCTTAACCTACTGCACTATATGCAAACGATACCTATGTGTTAGGTGTCTTATGTGTACATATGTATAGTAAAATTTTCATGGAGTCAACGATATATATAAATAACTAGCATTGCCCGCGGCTCTGCTCGCGTTCAGATGACCAAAAACTAAATTCTTAGGTTTTATATATTAGTATACTCTTACATTACAGTTTTTGTATTTTTTCTCAGAAATGAGATATTTTATTATATGTATAGAAAATGTTTATTACAAAACTCCAAAAGCTCTTCACCGATAACTTTCTATAGATATAATCAAAATAATTTTTTTATCAATTTTGCCGTAATTAGCCATTAGACGACGTTACAGCGCATCAACATCTGTAATCAAGGGATTTCCATAAAAATCTTGAACACAAGTACCTATTTGAGTACGGAAAATATATTTAAACTACCGATATACATGAGCATAGCCGCGGGAAAATGCGTGTGTAGTGTATACAAAATTTGTGTGTTGGGGGATTTAAGGTTGCCATAAATTATTCTTCTATTTGCTGTCTAATCAAGGATCATTCATCAATTATTGCACTTGAGAATGGCCGGTCGGATTAATTTCTAAATTTGCTACTGCTCAAATGTACGTTCAATTATAAGAGATAATATTCCTGCCGTAGTGGCGCAGTGTAATGTGATAAGCTGGTATTATATATACTTGCTACATCTAAGGTCGTGGTTACGATCCTCTCTTGAAAAAAATGATTTTTAGAACTATTATATTAGTACAGGGGCCCTTGCGACTAGCTTGGAATGTAATCTTTAAGTCAATAAAAGTATTTTTATTTTATTTTTTATTTTTTAAATATTCGAATGTTGGTACATTCTAGGTAATTTATTTAATTATGTTTATTGGCCCACAAAATAAATGACAACCAAACACATAAAATAACAATAGCTTGCAAAATTAATACACTGGATTGCATTTTTCTAGATGCAGACACAGCATGCATATAAAAACAAAACTTAATATTACAAAAAACGAGATTTAACCTACGGAACAATAAGGAACGGCTTTTATCTACTAACAATAACTAAAAACACTTAAAAAAATATTAATTACTAACAACAGCTGTAAAACTAAACAATTTGCTTTAATTTTTTACGTAGAGGCTATAGAGACAAAATTGAAGACATAGCGTCTGAATGGCTAATTTACATAGTGTAAAAATAAAACGATAATAGAGTATGAAGTTATAAATAAAATTTTCTGTGACAAGTTTACACGAGCGAACAAGCGTGAAAATAATGAGAAAACGAGTAAGCGAAATAGATATGCAGTGTATCGAGATTTTTGAAAATATATTATACATACATATTTAATTCTACCAGAAGTAGGTACAAAGAGATTTGCATTACGATATAGGTACACCATGCAAGGCCAACCCCAGTCTGTGTCAATAAAACCCAGACAGTTAATATTATATTGTAAAATTTTCATTATACGGGAAAGCATAATTCCAATTATAATAATAGCAGAATTGCAATTACAGCAATAACAATATAAATGCTTTTACAATTTTTTAAAAGAAAAGAAAGACTAAGGAAAACTTGTGAGTTTAAAATATAAATATACCTACTAGCAGAACCTGCGGCTTAGCTCGCGCTAAAACTACAAAAAAACCTCTAAAAATGTAGGTTTCATACAAAATTTCATCCTCTACTTTACCCCCTTATGGGATGAATTTTGAAAAATGCTAAAACACTTATTTATTTAATTGTATTGAAGAGTATTTATAACAAGTTTCACGTAATTCTGATCATACATATTTTTTTGGGTTGTATAATAACGTGTTTTCCCGTGGGAATGAGATAATTTCTCGCGGTAAAAAGTAGCGTATGTTACTCTCCAGCCGTCCGACGAAACTTATCCGGATCTGTCACTTCGTTTCGACGTGAAAGAAGGACAAACAAACAAACAAACAAACAAACACACTTTCACATTTATATACTATATGGATGAATATTTACATAAGTTGGTACCTACATGCAGATAATGAGATGAGACAACATCAACGGTGTTATTTTTATAAGCATATATATGAATGTGATTTATAATTAGTGCAATGAATGTATAACAGTACATTCAGTTCACTCTTTTTATGTATTAGGCATGAGGCAAGAGTGAGAAACGGTGCCAACTTTATGAGGTTTCCTCTGGCATCAATACTATTAATAGTGCATACGCAACTATATACGTAGTTGTAAAAATTGTTAGTAAACAATAAGCGATTCTGCCCGCATT